ACCCTAACCCTAACCCTAACCCTAACCCTAACCCTAACCCTAACCCTAACCCTAACCCTAACCCTAACCCTAACCCTAACCCTAACCCTAACCCTAACCCTAACCCTAACCCTAACCCTAACCCTAACCCTAACCCTAACCCTAACCCTAACCCTAACCCTAACCCTAACCCTAACCCTAACCCTAACCCTAACCCTAACCCTAACCCTAACCCTAACCCTAACCCTAACCCTAACCCTAACCCTAACCCTAACCCTAACCCTAACCCTAACCCTAACCCTAACCCTAACCCTAACCCTAACCCTAACCCTAACCCTAACCCTAACCCTAACCCTAACCCTAACCCTAACCCTAACCCTAACCCTAACCCTAACCCTAACCCTAACCCTAACCCACCTTTCGACCCTTGACCTTTTGATCTTTCGTCCTTTGACCCTTGACCTTCTGATCTTTGACCTTTTGATCTTTTGGCCTTTGACCTTTGACACTTGATCTTTGATCTCTAACCTTTTGACCCTTGCCCTTTTCATCTCTTGACCTTTGACCTTTTTGACCTTCGGTCCTTGATCTTTGATCTCTAACCTTTCGACCCTTGACCTTTTGATCTTTTGACCTTTGACCCTTGACCTTTTGATATTTTACCTTTTGACCTTTGACCCTTGACCTTTTGCTCTTTGACTTTTTGGTCCTTGACCTTTTGACCTTTGACTCTTGACCTTTTGATCTTTGACCTTTTGACCTTCGATCCTTGATCTCTGATCTCTAACCTTTCGACCCTTGACCTTTTGATCTTTTGACCTTTGACCCTTGACCTTTTGTTTTTTTTGACCTTTTGACCCTTGACCTTTTGATCTTTGGCCTTTGACCCTTGACCTTTTGACCTTTGACCCTTGGCCTTTTGACCTTTGACCCTTGCCTTTTGATCTTTTGACCCTTGACCTTTTGATCTTTGCCCTTTTGACCCTTGACCTTTTTTTCTTTTGATCTTTGACCCTTGATCTTTGATCTCTAACCTTTTGACCTTTGACCCTTTGATCTTTTGACCTTTGACCTCTTGATTTTTTGATCGTTACCTTTAACCTTTTGATCTTTGACCCTTGATCTTTGACCCTTGACCCTAACCCCTGACCCTGACCCTGACCTTAACCCTGACCCTTACCCTAACCCCTAACCCTAACCTGTAGTAGAGTTTTCCTGCTTGGCCCACAGTCAGGACAAATCTCTCTCACCTGCCAGTCCTACAGTTGCTCAGACCCGACCAAGTAAAAAAGGAGACTTATGTTGGTTACAAACTGTATGGCCGTGGCAGGCTTCTTGCTAACTGTTCTTACAGCTCAAATTAATCCAGTTCCAGAAATCTATACCTTGCCACGTGGCTCATGGCTTACCAGCATCTTCACATGCTGCTTGTCATCGTGGCAGCTGGCAGTGTCTCTGAATCTATCTTCCAATTTCCACCTATACTTCCTGCCTAGCCACTGGCCAATCAGTGATTTATTTATTTCCCAATCAGAGCAACACATTTGACATACAGACCATCCCACAGCACTAACCCCTAACCCTAACCCTAACCCTAACCCCAACCCTAAACCCTAACCCTAAACCCTGACCCTAAACCCTGACCCCTGACCCCAACCTTGACCCCTGACCCCTGACCTTGTCCATGACTCCTCACCCTCTGACCCTGACCCCTGACCCTCTAACCCTCACCCTTACCCTCTGACCCTCACCCCGACTCTCACCCTGATCCTCTAACCCTGAACCCTCACCCTGACCCTGATCCTCACCCTGACCCTCTAAACCCTCAACCCTCGCCCTGACCTTCTAAATCTGAACCTTCACCCTGACCCTCTAATTCTGATCCTCACCCTGATCCTCTAATCCTGATCCTCAGCAACCCTCTAACCCTGAACCCTCACCCTGACCCTGACCCTCACCTTCACCCTGAACCTGACTCTAACCCTGAACCGACTGTGGTGATATTGTATTCCTCAAAATATTGTGCACTCTAATAAACTTATCTGGGGTCAGAGAACAGAACAGCCACAATATTAAACATAGAGGTTAGGCAGTGGTAGCACACACCTTTAATCCTAGCATTCCAGAGGCCTAGATCCACCTAGATCTCTGTGAGTTCAATTCACCCAATACCTGGCATCAGGTTTGACTTTTATTAATAAGACCCTTTAGGATTCACGCTACACCCGACCCTGACCCTGACTCTGACCCTGACCCTATACCCGAACCTAACCCTAACTCTTCCAACCCTGAACATGACCCTAACCCTTCTAACCCTGACCCTGACCCTAACTCTTCTGACCCCAACTTTAACCCTGACCCTAATCCCTGACCCTGACACAAACAGTGGAATAGAACAGAACAGAATGAAATGGAACGGAAATGGAAAGGAACGGAATGGAGGCCTAAACCTAACCCTAACTCCTAACCCCTAACCCCTAACTCCTAAACCCAGCCCTAACCCTGACCACCCTGAACCTGACCCTGATAATCACCCTGACCCTTATCCTCTAACTCTGATCCTAACCCTGACCCTGACCCCACACCCTGACCCTAACCCTAACCCCCTAAGGCTGCTTGGGTAGGTCATGTGTGTACAGGTCATGGGAGTGGGATTGTGTAGATGCATACCCAGGGGTGGGATTTTGTAGAGAGGATAATAGTGGAATATTTATTTTTGTTTTTGTTTTGTTTTTGTTTTTTTTGAAGGGCATAATTTTATTTTAATTTTTCTTTATTAAGAAATTTTCTACTCACTCTACATAAATATCCCATCAACTCCCTCCTCCCACCCCACAGCCCTCCCTCCCAACCTCTAACCCTAACCCTAACCCTAAGCCTAACCCTCTAATCCTAACCCTAACCCTTGACCCCTGACCCCGACCCCGACCCCAACTCTGACCCTAAACCCAACCCTAACCCCAACCCCTAACCCCTAAACCCTAACCCCGAACCCCGAACCGCTAACCCGAACCCCTAACCCCTAACCTGAACCCCTAACCCGAAACCTGAACTCTGAGCAAAAATCCTCTTTCAAAGTTCAAAACTGCACATATATAAACATTAGCTCATCTCACTCACAGATAGAGAAAATAACCACTAATAATTAAATCCTCACATCCTTACCTTCACCCAGGGTTATTTACACAAGACCATAACTTAAGACATTACTGCTCAAACTCCTGAGATGAAGTTTTAGCCATTTGCTAGTAACTGAGTTAAGGCAGTTACTTCCCACTGACCCAAGGAAATTGCATACAAGGTCAGGCAGGGGATAGTTGTCAAGCTTCTTGTGCAAAATAAGTATTAATTCCTTCTCAGCCAGGTGCTATTCCTAGATTTTCTCCTCATAAATTACTCTGATTGATATTACTAACCAAATGTTACATGCTCTGACATAGATTGCTTAGCCACCTAGCATATGTCCCCCTCCCGATCAGAAAGCAGCTGCAGCCTGGACAAGTGGGAAAGGTGGCGCCAAAGACAGTTTACTTTCTTGTGACTTACTGACCCCTAACCTAACCAATTCTAGGTTATAGTTTGAGCACATAAATTCTGTAACTGATCTTAGCCTTAGTTGACCCTAACAGAGGACTCACCTTTAATCACTCCCCCTTTTGTTTTGTAATTAGAAGCTGACAATTATTGCTTTATGTGTGGATCCTTATCACCTCTCTCAATGACCCTGAAAATTTCAAGCCTCGCATTGCTTTGCCAAAGAATTACTGCATATGTATATATACTGACATTCTGAGAGCACTGGAGAGAACTGAATGAGAACAGAGATGAGGACAGAGGTAGAAAGAAGTAGGTAGAATGATGAGAGAACAGCAGAAGGGACTGAGAGCAGGAGGCACTAAGAAGAGTTAAGTAAGAGAACAGAAAAAAAACTGTGTAGATGGAATTGACTTAGAAGAATAAAGTGAATGGACTAACAAACTCAGTTAGCTAAGATTCATTGAATATCCCTCAGATTAGTATGCTTAGCCCCTTGCAGCATCTGTTCTTGACCCTGATAAAAATCTCTTCAAGGCAGGCACTTGGGGGAATTTGTTACCTAACCTTCTAACCCTAACCCTAACCCTTGACTCTAACCCCTTACCTGACTCTAAACTTAACCCTAACCCTCTAACCCTAACACTCACCCTACCCTGTCTATTCTGAACCCTATTCCTAACCTTAACCTCAACCCTGAGTTATTCTGACCCTGATAGTAGCCTTCTATCCTTGACTCTCTCACCCCTTGACCCTCTGACCTTGTCCATGACCCTAACCGTCTAACCCTTTACCATTAATCATAACCTACCCCTAATCCCTAACACATAAACCATAACCTAAGTCTAACCCTAACCCTAAACCCTGAGTTACAGGACCCGACCCCGACCCCGACCATCTTGATCAGTACCCTGACCAGGATACTGACCTCAACCTATCCCAACCCCAATCCTCTAACTCTCCCACCCTCTAACCCCCTAACCCTTGACTCTAATGCTGACCTAAGCCTACACCCAGACCCTAACCCTGACCCTCTAACCATGACCCTGACCTTGAGTTACCCTGTCCCTGAACTATCTACAGCTCTGTAGATACCTATAGCTCAGGAGAGAAAGGTACCCTGACTGTCAGAATTCAGACTATAGCTACAGTTGTGAAGGGAAGGTACCCTGAATACTTACAGCAGTGAGGAGAAAGGAATCACAACTGTCAGGAAGTCAGGCTATACCCGAAGTTGTGTTCCAGTTGAGGATGATCTCACAGCAGGATGAAGGAATCTTGCTCCTCTTTGAGAGAAAGCCATTACAGCCAGGCTCTGCTCCACTCCCCTATGGGAGTTTCCCAGCAGAGGTGTTCATTGTTTTTCTGCTCTGCTCTGCTGTACTATGGAGTTTCCCAGCACAGATGTCTATTTCTTCTCAGATCCATCCCAAATTGTTACTTCTCTGCTTCACTCAACTGAGGGAAACCACTGTAGAAATGTAGCAGTCTATTCCAGTTCCATGCAAAAAGTTGTTACTTCTGCACTGCTCCCAAAAGGTAGTTTCTCATCAGAGGTGCCCATTGCTTCTCTGCTCCACTCCATGAGGAAGTTTTGATCTGCTAAAGCAAAAGAAGTTCTTCACCCAAAACTGATTCAAAATACATACATTTAGGCCGGGCGGTGGTGGCGCATGCCTTTAATCCCAGCACATGGGAGGCAGAGGCAGGCGGATCTCTGAGTTCGAGGCCAACCTGGGCTACAGAGTGAGTTCAAGGAAAGGTACCAAAGCTACACAGAGAAACCCTTTTGCTTTAGCAAAAACTGTCCCTTGGCTTTTGACTCTAATTTCCCCTCTTACTCAACTGAGCACAGTCACAAAAAATATGCCTTTTGTAAGACAGCATAGCTCTCATGGTGCTGTGATTCAAATGGCAATATCTGTTAAGGCATTGTTTTCTTGTTTTCTTTCTTAAAATAATGCATGGCAACTGCAATTCACCTACCTGAAATAGAGGCATATGGTTTTGTGAGAATTTAATAATCATCAACGCACTATAAGCTGTGCTCATTTACACTGTTTCTTTTGTTTAAAACTTCCAGGGCACATAACAATTTCTTCAGAGGCACAGTTGTATCACCTAGCACATGAAAATTACCTTTCATATCTCCTAGAACTGTGATGATGTTCTTTGATATTATAGTCTTCCAAACTGTATCCTAAAATATAGTACCAGAAAATGTATGTTATATTATTGAAAATTATGCAGAATTTAAGTTACTATCTTCAGTGAACCTTAGTACTATGATTGATTCATTCACATCATTCATCTTCTTTCTCAATCATATTAGAGGAGCAAAAATAACCAAAGAACAGTTGCCCCCTTATTTTAAAATATAAAGAAAAATTCTGTCTTACCTATAGTAGTGAGGTTCCTGTAAGTCTCCAACATCACATCTTTGTAGAGATTCTTCTGGGAAGGATCCAGCAAAGTCCACTCTTCCCAAGCGAAGTCAACATGCACATCATCATAGGTCACTGCATTCTAAAACATCCCATACATGTGTACAACAGAAAGCATGATACTGACAACATAGCATAGTCATATAATTCTTGTGCTCCCCACACTTATTCCATGACATATACATTATAATGTAACCACTAAGTCATTTTGAAGAAAACTTGATAGGAGGGTCATCTCTGTCATTTCTGTACCGTTTGAGTGGAATATCACCTTACAAGAGAAATGCCTATTAACAAACACAGAGAGACAAATAAACAGATCAACAGTACAGAGTACACATGAGAGAAATTGTATGAGCAGTTACTAACAACAGAGAAGAAAAATAAGATAGATAAACTGGCTCACACCTTTAACCCCAGCACTCAGAAGGAAGAGGCAAGTATATCTGTCTCTGAGTGGAATGCCAACCTAGTCTATGCAATCAAGTCCAGGACAGCCAGAAGTACATATTGACACCCTGTCTCCCATGTAAAAAAATTAATCAATCTTGCCAGGTGGTAGTGGTGCATGCCTTAAATCCCAGCACTCAGGAGGCAGAGGCAGGCAGATCTCTGTGAGTTTGAAGTAATCCTGGTCTACAAAGTGAGTTCCTGGAAAGGCGCAAAGCTACACAGAGAAACCCTGTCTCAAAAAAAAAAATCAGTCAAACTAAGAAAAATGATAGAAAGAACTCAGAGGTCTTTACTGAAGTGCCTACAAAGAGTTATGCATTCATTCCAGTTCTGTATTCACCTTCCAGAAACCTGAAGTGCCCTAATTTATACTATAACATCAATAAGATTTTACTAACAGGTAGAAAGCACTTTCAGTTCACCTGAACTCAGCATGAAGCCACAGAACAAACATCTCCTTTTGTGTCCTTAAATCTCTCTTTACTTTTTTGTTTGTTTGTTTGTTTTTGTTTTTGTTTTTTGAGACAGGGTTTCTCTGTGTAGCTTTGGAGCCTGTCCTGGAACTCACTCTGTAGCCCAGGCTGGCCTCGAACTCACAGAGATCCACCTGACTCTGCCTCCCGAGTGCTGGGATTAAAGGCGTGCGCCACCAACACCCGGCAAATCTCTCTTTAAAATAGTTAATATTCTGGGCATCCTTCCACCTGTGGGACAGGGAATCACTCCACTCAACATTGAGGAAAGAACTGTGCAAGCTAGCCACAATGTGCCCAGGAGGAAGAATGGGAAGTGCCTATGGAGTGCAGGAAGATAATAGGGTCAGCAAATGGAGCCTGGGGCAAGTGCTATTGAAATGCACATCTCTGCAGCTCTGGAAAAGGTCTGGGTCTAGGCTGAAGGGCAGGGTCAGAACCATTGTGCTGTGTCTTTAAACGCACTGTAATCCTATGGGAGGTGCTTCTGTCACTCGGGCCTTACTAGCCAATCAGGGCCTCCAGGCCAAACTGCCAGTCAGAAGTGGTGCAGAATCTTTCCCGGAGCCACACAGCAGGCTTGGTTTTGCCGAGGAGCTGTCGCCAGTGTTTTCCTGTGCTGTGCTGTGAGCACTGCTGCAGGGAGCTGTGAGGGGGCCATGGGCAAGCTGGGAAGCCATAACATGGTGAGTGAGGGGCTGCTGCCCCCAGATGGGGAAGAGTCAATGGGGAGGTACAGAAGCTAGTGTGGTGGATCCTCCCTGGGGCTGGGTGGGAATCTGTAGCCAGATTTCCTGTTCTGTGAGTACCCATGTGGTCCCTGCAACTTCCTGGTCCCAGGCACAGGCCTCTGAATAACTTTGCTCTGTGGGCTGCATCTATGCCGAGCAATTTGGGAGGGGGACCCGTGTGTAGAAATATATTCATAGTCAACAACAACAACATGCTTTTGGTGCATCCATGGACGGCAGGTTGCCAAACTTGGAGAGGCCTAGTTTCTCCAGTATCTTCTAGACATTCAGCACTTTGCATTTAACCTTTACGTGTAAGGTCCATTTACAGTTAATTTTGTGGAGTTGCTAAAAGGCATCTCTTGTGTTGGATAGCACTCCATTACTTAGCTGTGATGTAGAAGAGTAGAATTGGTGATATAAAGGATTTACACAAAGGAGAAAGGGAGGCTGTCTCTAAATAAAACACCCCAAAGATACTATGCTAACTAGGTTTGGTAGAGATAAGGATGCTAGGATACACTTTTTTTTCCCCACCAGGATTGTCCAGATATTTGGCTCCAAACCATTATAAAGGAGACACCCCTGATTTAAAACCAGTCACTAAGCTCATCTCCATAACAAAGAACAGGCCTCTAACAAGCTGCTCAAGGAGGTATTACAGGGTCACAACCTACTTTAAGGCCTGGTGTGCCTTAAAGTTCCAGTTTTCTTCTTGAGAAAAGCATAGTTCTGAGAGATGAGCAGCATGACACCAGGTGACAACTTTTTGAAAAGTAAAACACCAATGTGTTAAGGACTGGTCAAGCAAAGCTTTCATTTAAGCCCTCAGGCAGGGAGGAGGAACATCTTGGGAAAGTTAACAGTCTGGGGTCTGGGCATTGGGTGCTTTGCCTAAGGCCTTGATATATTGAGAATAAAACAGAGCTCATTCTCTAAAACCAGGAATATAGAGCTGGTAATAATCTGGGGCCAGGGCCTTTGTGGAGGGGTTGCTTCAGATCCTTAGAACCCAACTCTTCCTGCCACATGGAGCTGTGGTTATCGGTGCCAAGGCCACTGTGGGCTTAGTCAGGGATGTTCTTGAGATGCCCTGTGTTCCCCTTGTGCAGCATTGTTTGTAGCCTACTCCTGAGTTTGTACCATTGTATGATACTTTCTGCTTACTTACTTCATAGAAGTTCCTCATTTCCTTCCATTTTTTTCCCCTGGAAGTAGTATCAAGAAGCTATTCTTCTTAAGAAGCTTACTTAGCATGAGACATAGCTTGTACAAAACCTCCCCACCCCAGCTTTTCTTTCTTCTACTTTACACTTTTTCTTTTTGTTTTTTTTTTTTTTTTGGTTTTTCGAGACAGGGTTTCTCTGTGTAGCTTTGCGCCTTTCCTGGGACTCACTTGGTAGCCCAGGCTGGCCTCGAACTCACAGAGATCCGCCTGCCTCTGCCTCCCGAGTGCTGGGATTAAAGGCGTGCGCCACCACCGCCCGGCCTACTTTACACTTTTTCTATCTTTCTCATTCCCTGGCACTTTCACCTCAGGACCCCATCACTGAAAATGACCTGGTGTACTTCAGAAATAATTCTGATAATATCTTTGCTATGTAAGTCTACCATCTTCCTAAGTGGCTAGACTTGCAGTCTTCTGTCCCTATTTAAATTGTTCAAAGTGTAACCTGAAGCCTGAACCTAAAAGACATAAGGATGACAGCATATGTGGAATGCAAAATATGTCTAGGCTGGCTCCTCTTTGAGCATTAGCCAGAGATAGATACATGCTCTCATTAAAGAGATTTTTCTTCATTAATCTCCTAAATGTGTGGAGTAATTTCTTCCTGGAAAGACATAATTTTAGAGCAGCTGCATTTCCAGCCTTTTAGAAAAATGTTTCTGAGACAAGCTCTGTTCTATTGACACAAGTGGCCTTGATTTCAGACTGTTGTACTCCAGGGCAATGACCTTGTTGTCCTCTGTATTATACCTCTAAAACTCTTAAATGTCTGTACCACTTCAGAGTTTTTAAATTATCCATTTGAATCATATAGAGGACTGTCCATTTCAATTCCAGGAAGGATTTGCGTGTGGAGCATGGCTTCTGCCTTCAAATCAGAATAGGAGGAACAGTGTATTGTGTACACTGCAGGGGGAAACAGGGTAGGCAGTCAGCTGCTGCTGTCACCATAATGAAAAAGTCACCATTATGATTGTGGCAGGAGGGGCTAATTTTTAATTTCCCAGCATGTATTAATTCATGTCATGTGAATGAAGACAGACCAGATTGGTGGGTATGCAATTTGAGAAAGTTACCTTGAGGCAATAAATATTGAATTTGCAATTAGGGAACTCTCCTATGCAGATATGCTCATTTAAGTCAGCTTAGAGGTTTGAGAAACAGGCCATTGACTGTAACTCTGTGTGTCAGGTTAAAGATCTCAACAGCCAACATGTGCATATAGGCAAGATCAGTCAGTCTCTTATTAATGGCCTTCCCTCTATTAGGGAAGGGCCTACTCTTTTTCAAAGTCAATATAGCTAACTTTTTTAATCTTAAAAATACATTATTTTTTGGGGCTGGAGAGATGGTTCAGCGGTTAAGAGCACTGACTGCTCTTCCAGAGGTCCTGAGTTCAATTCCCAGCACCCACATGGTGGCTCACAACCATCTGTAATGAAATGAGATCTGGCACCCTCTTCTGTATACATAATAAATAAATAAATATTTTTTTTAAAAAATACATTATTTTTATCATTTAAAAATTATTGGTGTCGTTTTTAAACATTTTCTTTATGTGAATTAGTACTCTTATCTCTATTTGTTTCTGTTCTCTAATGTTTCTTGATCATTAAGAATTTCATTCCTTTTTTTCTCAAATGCTACTTATTTATTTATTTCTGTTTAGAGTAATATCTCCTGTAGCCCAGGCTTACCTGGAGCTATGAAGTTGAGAATTATTTTGAACACCTAAAACTGCCTCTGCTGCCTAGTGCTGGTAAGACAATCCTGCACCTCCTCCCAGGCTGGGCCTTGACTAGTCAGTGAGAAGGATAAGAGAATAGTAAATGAGTGTCCTCCAGTCTCTGTGACTTTTATCAGAGAGTTACAAATGAAGAAGGACCTGTGCAAGAACTGAGTTCACTGACCAACTTTGAAGCTGATATAGTCACAGCACAGAAAGGGAATGGCAGGAAGGAGGGTGAGCACTTTCCTGCTTTTGGCAGTAGTTGATATTAGCAAACTTGAGACAGGTAATCAATTTTAGATGCTCCATAAATATCCTGACTGGCCATTTCTTGAGGTCCACAGACCAGGACCATCTAGAATCTGGGTAAAGGACTGACCTTATCATGGAACCAGATTACTGCAGTCACACTAGTTCAACCAAAATAGAGGATCTTTATAAAAAGTTGTGGCCCTGCCTAACAGGATTGGTATTTTCCAGGTTTAAGATGCACAGGCTGAGAGAAAATATGTGAATAATCCTTGGTGTGCTCTCATACAAATCCCTGGTCTCTGGAGCATATGGCCCAAAAGCCTGCTTCAATTTTTCAAAATAATTATTTGAAATAAAAACTACATCATATCCACAGTCTCTTCATTGCCCCCAAGCCCTGCCATGACCCTTCATTGTTTTCTAATTCATGGTCTCTTTTTTGCTTTAACAACAGTCACTGTTTGAATGTGACCTATGTTTGGCTGCAGAACTTCCCAGCTAAGAAGCAAAGGATTGGCTACATTGGACATTGAGTGTGTAATGGAATGTGCACACAAAGGACCTGTGCCTTGGACAAAGAATAGGAAGTGTTTTGGGAGAGTGGAAGAATGTCTACTAAAATGCAAACTTTCCAGACTAAGGCCCTGTCTGCTGGGCTGGAAGGGCAGAGCTGGGGAGGCCTGTGCTGTCTGAGTCATTTGATCTCTGCTCACCCAGTAGGGGAGCTGCTAATATTCTGAGGCCCAGTAGGGTGACCCTAGCTAATGAGGGACTTAGCAAGGCTTAGCAATAGGAGTACTAGCTTTCAGGTTCTTTCCAAGATTTTCTGCTTCTGCTGTACAGAGTTAGTTGTAAGGAAGACCACATGCCATGCCATGGTGAGTGTGGGGTGTTCAGAGCAGGTGTGCTGTGCTGTCATTTCTGCTGGGACTTGGATGGACCATGAGCCAGACTATGGTTCTGTTGGTCCATGTGATGACCTGGGCAGTGGCCCTTGTCCTCTGTGTCTCCCTGTGTGAAATTTCCTGGGGAGGGGGAGGCTCTGCAGCTTTGTCATGGGAGAATATGATACGTGGAGTATCACTGTCCAGTGTGCACACACAGGCATTGCTTTAGTGGGAAGTGGAAAGACAGACTGGGAAACTGAAGGTCTGGTTTCTAGAAGTTCTGAACATTGCACTCTACTTTCAGGTTTGTCTTATAAATGTTACAAATAATTTAGAAACTGGTAGAAACATGTGATGGGAATCATCCTTCAGTAATACATGATTAGAATGTTTTTAAATTTATGATACCAGCTTGACCTGATTCAGAAAAGTTCAGTTCCAGGGGAGAAAAGAAGTTTCTGAACTTGCATGGTATTGGGCAGGTGTATAAAGCAGACTCCACATCATGTGCCATAACCTATGTGGCAGGAAATAGACATTAAATTATTCTTCTACACTATTGTATGATTAGGCATCATTGAGGCTGGGTTTACCTGAAACCAGGAGACATGAGAGTTTGCAGAGCCATAGGAGGAGATTAACTCCATTTGCCAAGAGAGTGATAGAGCATGGGGCCTGTTGGTTGTTTTTATTCTTTGTTCTTTTGGCTCTCTGGGGGGGCCTACCACCCAGCTCCCAAATAAATCACACATGGAGGCTTATTACTTATAAATGCCTAGCCTTAGCTAGCTTTTCATAACTTAAATTATCCCATCTACCTTTTACCTCTGTGCTTTTTCCTTTTCTTCTATAATCTTAC